TCTGCTGTGAATGCATGTTTCGTTGCATCAAATAAATAACCCAATTTTATGATAGAAGCTTGCAATCTTGTGCCATACAGGGTCAAGTGATTGAGCAATAACAAATGTGATTTTATGCATTAGATCATTGAATGTATACAAAAACATGGTACCAATGATCTGAAATTTCAGGAGTGCTCGCTGAAGGTTTATCAATCTTGCGTATTGTCTTGTTCAATCCTGCATTTCAGTTTATGTTTTTCTTCTAATAATTCTGCCACTTTCAAAAACAAATATTTTTCCATGGTCGAAATGCAAGAAGAATACAAAACTACTGTGATTTCATAGCGATACCTGTAGGGCCATTGTCAATTAGTTCGCCTGATCAACACAGCGTTATACATAGGACTGATATTGAATCACGGAGAGTAAAATCTTGTGATACTAATCTCTCTAGAACCAACTCGGATTGGTACTTAGGTCTTATGAACCCACATGTGTATATCTTTGACTATACTCATTTTAAACTTTTTTTTTTACAGTGGTGCTGTGAACTGAATTTTTTCTGGGTTCCTACAACACGGAGTGTCAGGGACTTTATTGAAATGTTGTACACAAATTTCATAAAATCCTGAATATATCTAGAAGTCAAAATTAAATGGTTTACAGCTTTTACAATTGTTTAAATTAACAGATGTTGTTCTATGTACAATGAATACATTTTAAATAATAAACCTTACTGTGTTAATAACAAATTGTATTTGATAACATGAGAATGATTCTGATGCCCAGTGGTGATGTTGAAACAAACCCAGGTCCTGGTAATATAGTAAGACGTGATTAACAAAGAAGTCATGTACATCAAGGTTCACTCAGATTTATGAATGCAGTTTCTTGAGCAAGTATACATATATGACAAATAGTTTTGTTGCACTTGTGTACTTTGAGATTCTGAACATGGGTCAGTGGAAGTTTTTAGTTGTCAGTACAAAACTAGATCATCGGAAATCACTTTATGATGAGTCGTAACCACAAAGAGTACATATTTATTCACCTGTTTGCAGATGTTCCTTGTACAACTTTATAATCAAATAACTGGGACTGTGACATTTCATGTCTTGTTAAGCCTGGGTTTTGGGAATTGTTGCCTCAGTATTCGAGTTGTTTTCATCGGGCGTACTGACTTCCTTATATTTCACGATGTTGCGTTATCTCATACGAAATCCCGATGCTACCACCGTTACGCCTGGTCTGCCAGATCCAGTGTCAACTGACAATCCTGATGAAATGTATCAAGCTAATGAAGAAGTCTTCAAAATTCTCACAACCCTGGGTTCTCATTGCAGAAAACGAAAGCGTGGGCAGTATGAAGTTTATAGTCCAGAACTCTGTGCGAAGATCAGCAAATTTGCAGCAGAAAATGGCAATTCCAGAGAAGTGTGCCACTTCACTGTCTTCCTTGGTAAATCCGTCAATAAAAGTACCATTCTATCTATGAAAGAAGCCTACATCAAAAAAGTCCAAAAATCTAGAACTCAACCAGTATTCATCATGCTAAACGTGGTAGACCTCTACTTTTAGGCGAACTTGATTCTTGAGTGAGGCGATATGTAAATAACGTCAGAGACTCAGGGGGCATCGTCAACAGAAACATCGTGGTACCAGGCGCACGTGATATTGTGTTGCAGCGTAATCGGTCTCTGCTCCAAGAATTTGGCGGTCATATCGAATTGACACGTAATTGGTCAGTGTCATTGCTGCGAAGGATGGGTTACGTGAAACGGAAAGGGACGAAAGATGCTAGAAAATTACCAGGCAATTTCGACGAATTTAAGGAGTCTTTCTTGGAATGCATCACCAATGCAGTTTCCCAGGAGGCCATACCATCCGAGTTAGTGATCAATTTTGATCAAACTGGCTTACATATTGTCCCCGTTAGTTCGTGGACATTAGCCAAAGACGGAGAGCGACAAGTTCCAATCATATGCCTGAAAGACGAGCGAGAAATAACGGCAGTATTTGCAGTTCGCGAAATTAAAACTGTTTACAGTATTGTAAAGGCTGACAACCAATTTGTTACTTGCTTGTATGGTGACATGTTTTTTTTTTTATAAGGAAAAACAGGGACCTTGTGTATTTGAGGAAGAAAAATATTTAGTTACTGTTTTAATACTAGTAACAAAACTTCTTTTAAAAGACAACATACATGTACTCTTTATTTTGAAGTTCATAGTTGTTTTCTTAAGGCCTTCTCAGCCTTTTTTGACAACTTTTGTTTATGATCATCTTTTCTCTTGAAATGCATATATATAGCAAATTCTCTACACCTTGTATCCACAAAACACTGTAAGTGGTCTAACAATGTTTCCCTCAAATTTTGACCTTTGTAGGTAGATAGAATAGATAGAATTTTTGTTAGGTATGTGCCTTGATGATATGCAAGTAGCTCTTCGTGACATGTTCAATCCGTCTGAAAAACAGAAACACTTCATCATTGACATTGAAAAGCCCATCCCTGTCCACAGATTTGATCCATGATGTAGTATAATTAAGAAATGACATGCCATAAGTTGCATCACTAGAACCAGCTTTCCTCGACTTTAACATGATTGAGCAAACTGATTGTCACGAGGTGTTTGAATCATATCAGAAACTGTATTATTAAAAGGACACAGTTGTTATTATGCAATTTTGTATTTATTAATTTATTGTAATAGTATAAATTGATAACAGCCCAGAGGTAGGTTTTGTAGCCCAGTAGGTAGCCGCATTGTCACTACACGTACAGAAAGTACCTATTATGTGACCTCGAGGTCGCACTTGGACACTGCTGGACGAGTATCCGTGTGATGAATGAACAGGTGTCGCGGACCAATTAGCGATTGACACAATTAGCCATGTGATGGCAGGGTATTTAAAGACTGAGACAGTGTGGTGCTCGGTTGTTGCTGCTGGAGATCTTGACCAACATCTACGCTTTGTACGACCCTGGAAGCGGCGAGCAGTACCACCACATACTACCATAGTCAAACCCGGCGTTGAACACCAGTCTGAAGTCTAACTGGGAAGGAAGCCTTGGCACTGTGGACGAGAAGGGAGAGTTCAAGTCGCTAATTACCGTCGCTGGCTTCTTATAATTCACCGGGCGACGCTGCCGACGCACGTCGGGAAACGTCAGTACCGAACATTCCTACACACACTAGTTAGTCTTGGGCTTTAAGTTATTATATTACCTTGTTATTACTAGATTGTTATTTTCCTGGCCAGTTTATTTATGTAACATTTTAAGAGTGCATGGCACTGATAAACGTGACTAGTAGGTACGCTGTTCCTCCCCTGGTCGTAGGGTAGTTACCGACTTTGCCGTGGTGTCTACAGTGCGAAATTCCGTAACCCCCACCTCTTACCAATAACATAGTTGCGTTGGTGCGTGGTGAGGGCCGCGTGTAGTGCTGAACCTCTGCAAGTTCGTGTGATACCGACGGAGAGAACTGTAGCAAGCATATGTTTTGTGTACCTAATAAACTATGGTTTCACGTAATTCACGTGTAGTGTTGTATGTGTAAGATTGGCCGGTGTGCATTATTGCTGCTTATATGTGCATATAGTCATATTGAACTCTACTGTAGCCCATCAGTCTAAATTATACTTGTGTTACACAAATTGTGTAATTTTATATTGGTTAAGAACCCGCACACGAGGTAGTAAACGTATTGCATACTATTTGGTATTTTGGCTAATATTTGACCCAGTGACCTCGTGACACTGATTATTTAGAATTCTGCTGTAAAACTTTACAAGTTTCTGGGGAATGAAGCCAGCCACATATCTTAAGACTTGTTCCTCATTTTTGGAAAGTTTCACCTCCCCCACATCCTGCAGAGATGGATGGGTAACATTACCACATCTTTCTTGCAATAATAACTTTGACAATTCTGTGAGAAGATATTGCACTAAAAATGGCATTGCCGTTCAAGAAATACTGATGTCAACATCGGATAGAAAAGCTTTCACAATCTCATTACACATGGTGCTTAATCTTAAGTCGGTGAAAGGACATGCACAAAGTATTAAGAGTCCAGAGTTATGTTCTTGATGCAGATTTGTGGGAAGACTGCCTCCACCAGACTGTCGGTCATTTTACAAAAACTTGCTGAATCTTCAGTGGATGTGCTCATTAATGTCAAAGCAGGTTTTAGATCTTTGCTGATCCTTTAATTTAAGGAGAGTACTGGACTGTTTAATAATTCCTTTGCACAAACACTGACTAAGATTGGACCTTTTTTCTTGGCATCAGATATTGTAAACTGAGACTGGCAAACCACGAAAAAAAAAAAAAAATTTAATAATTAGGATAGATCAGGTACAACAAATTAAATGTACATTCACAGAGTCACCAACAAATATCCATACATTTATTATAATTTTAAAAATGTTTTTTTTTTTATTTTTTTATGTTTAAGAAACAGGGCTGTAATATAATGTTACCTTTCTTAACCCTCCTCTTGGTCTTTTTTCGTTTGCAAATCTACTGTTTTAAGTGTTTTAGTGGTGGCATCAGTCTCAATTATTAAATCACCTGTAACTCCATGACCATTGGCAGTGTTATAATTTCCATTTCCTTTAGAGAAAAAAACCGATTCAGAATGAGTCGAATAACATTTTAAACAAATATAGCTGAAATCTACTAAGCTATAATTAGAGGTCACACTAATAAAACATGTTCATATGAACAATTTCTACAGAACCAGTCATCTTTCGGAACAGCTGATACTAATAAAACCCAAACACTTGTAATGAAACCATACGACGCCACAGTTTCCTCCGTCACACATAATCATTTCGCCAGTTTCTTTACCAGAACAATAGGAGTAATGATAGTCATCTAAAACTTCTTCTGCGATATCATCTGTAATTACTTTGTTTTCGAGAAAAATATCTTCAGAAAAAACATGCATGCCGGACTGGTTGCGTTCATGGAAATTACCGATCTCGCACGAATACGGCCAAAGCCACCTAATTAATTATTCATGAGAATTAAAACTACGTAATCCTAATACACTAAGCTGGGACTGCTAATTACAGTGCAAATAGCGGCGATGCACATTGAAACAATTGCCTCCATGGTCGTATGCAGGCCATCGTCGAAGCAACGTCTCTTTTACGAATAGATGAAATCATTTTAGTGATTTGTTTACAAAATAATCCTCAATGATACTTAGTACAAGAGTGAAATATCAATGTGCTTCTGCATTTCCAATGAATTTCGTAACTTTCTATGATGACGTTAAAGAAAAAACCTGTGGTTACTTTCAACAGTTTGCTGGAGTCTGATCAAAAAACAGTTTATCAATTATTTTTTCAGCTCATAACGATAGAATCAGTCAATTTAGAACTATCATGCATGCTATCAGAAAGCATTTTGGCACAATTTTACTGAAAAGACTATTTTTTTCAATTCTCATGAATATTAATTTATGCAAATGAGAATTTTTTTTCAACAAATGGTGTCATGCACACCTCTGCATTCCTCTGTGAAGTTCAAGCCCTTGTGTATCGATAATTAAAATGTATTTCGTAATGAATAATTGTGTTCCCATCATGCACACAAACTATTTTTTTATAGTTTTAAGGAAGAACCTGAAATTCTTTGTAAATAAGTAGAAGTTCTGGTGAAAATAGTTAGGACAGTACGTCTTTTGGCTTTGTTTCACAAAAAGAATGTTGCTAAATAGTACCAGTGATACCTCACTTTGACACCACCAGTATATATTACTGATATGTGACATTTTTACATTTAGTTGTTGTTGAACAGTATATTGGAAATAGAAAAAGTTGCGTAACTTCCTGTTTCTTCTACTTCAGTTGGACTGTATCAGCAATTCTGGATGTCAAAACTTAAGTTCATGTGTGTCATTGAACTGTTATGGCCAGTTCATTCACACCATTATAGCTGGATGGGATCCATTGGAATGCCATAGAGCATTTTCCACAATTGCCAGTTGTTCCAATATACTAACTACAATGGGTGAGTAAAATTCTTTATTTGTAGAATACAGTACAATAAAACACACTAAACTATGACAAGGCAACTGATTCATTTATTGTGTTTCCAATGTGCATTTTTGCACTAAAAAATGTTAAAAGTCATCAAAAATCAGGTGTATTTGGATACAAAATGCATGAAATTGAGAAAAGTGTTTTTCAGATTGTCAAATCTTGTTAGAGGCTTAGATGGTACACTGTACATTAATTATGGAGATTTCTGATCTGATTCATAACAGCCAACTAGCAGCCATTTTTTTGCAAAGCTCTTTTATATTTACTGGTGTCTGCATCTGAAATTTATGCAGATTACTTTATCTTCCAACAGGTGCCTGTATATCTGCCAAACCTGGTGCCAAGTCTCATGATGAGATATATATACGTATTTTCTTGCACAGAGTTTTATTAGACTGGTCTGATGGTGATGACAAAACATTTTGGTTAAGTCGTATTTTAAAGCCATGGCCAATGGTTCAGCAGGCAAGGATATTGTACATTTTGTATGGGCCAAAATGTCCTCATTCAGGTAATTTTAATTACCATAGTGTTTGTAAGCACTTCATGTAGTTAAACATGAGCACAAATAATGTTTATTAAGGTAGAGATGCAGTTTATTTGTGAATTTCAATCAAAAATAGTTTTTTTCGTTTTTTATATAGATTTTTATCTAAAGAACATTCTGTGAAAATTTGACCAATGAATTCTTATTGGAACACCTTTAAAATTGCTGTTTATTTTCTGGTTAAAAATAAAAAACACTCACAAGTGGCAATGTTTATGTCCAATTGCCTAATTTGCATGAGTAATCAAATAACAGGACCTTTGATTGACAATATGCAAATCGAGATTGTACAGGTCATAGTTCATTCAATTCACGCGCATGTGCAATTATTCTCAAATCAGTTCTCGCTCGCTAGCAAAACAAACATTATATTTCCTCAGCGTTTTTTCCTAATTTTTATCATTACATTTTCGTGGTGTGAAAAGAAAGAGAGGTAGAAAGAAGATTCAGATGATTTATATGTCGGAAGGGGCAAAAGCTACACTGAAGGCATCAGCCCACAGAACGAAAAACAAAATCGATGTGAGCGTCCAAACGTGACTTTCCCTGAAGGCGTGAATCCGAGTTTCTGATTAACTGAGAGATTTTATTTTTAAATAATTGTTCTCAAAAAATAAACTGAGCATGTGAAGAATAATTTAACATTGTTTACAGTGATAACAGCTCATTGTCGAAACGAAGCTTACCCATTTACGGTAGTCACAATAAACATCATACTCTTGAATAGGCGTCAATGACTACGGTAAAACTTAGACTCTATTTTAGGAATGATTGAAATGTCCGAAAATGACGCCAAAATACACCTTAAAAGTCCCATTTTATTTTTTTCTAAATCCCATCCCGAATTTACGGCAGAATCTGGTCCCTCAAATAAGGGACACGTGAGCTTTGATTCTAACCGGATATATTGCACTGGGTCGAGGAGATACAAACTTTCGTGTATCTTTTGTCCAATGGGTACCTGTACTTCGATCATTCGCAAGTTTTGCTAGGTGGTGCGAGACAGCTTTGTTTGCAACCGGACGAACTCTGTTTAATTAAATGAAGCAAACAACTGACAATGCTAAAATAAATTGCAGAGGTACGCTAAAATTAACTGAAAACAAGCAAATAATTTCAATGAAAAATAAATCACAGAGAGAGGTAACTTGATACATTAACAACTCTTTTGACGCGCTGACCGCTTCTCCGCGTCTGATGTTTTGTTTTCCTTGTCATAATACTTACTGATTGATGATTTTGTTTTGAGTTTTGAGTTTTTTAGCCTGCAACTCGGCCACGACCTTTGCTTTTCCCCGTGAAAAATGGGGAAGTTTACGTCAATTTGACGGACATTCCATTTTTTAGCTCCGCTGTCGACTTTGTCGAGCGAAGCTTATCATATGAGTGATTGTCCGTTGGCGTCCGTCGTCGTCCGTGTCAATGTTTTACTTTTTCGACTTCTTCTTGAAAACTACAAGCCTGAATGTCAATTTGACGGACATTCCATTTTTTTTAAACTAACGAAGCACACTGTTTAGCACTCCTATTTTTTTCATTTGCCGATTTCTATTCAGAAAAATTCGGCCACTCGAAAATGCACCTTAATTTTGCACTCTTAAAACATGTCAGATTTCCAACACTAATTATTTAAAACCGGTCGAAATTTTAAAACTTTTACGTTAGGAGCTGGAGCTCTCTTCTTGCAGGCGACCGTCGCCGGTAGTACAACAGCATGTTTTGTACGTACATCCGTGCGCTGATTGTCTGCGACTGTCTTAGAAAATCCCTGAATAAGGCGTTACCAGAATCGAAAAAAATAATAAATTGCCTCCTTAAAAAACGAACAGAATTCAAATATTTCTTTTAACAAATATGTTGCAGTGGGAAAAATGGGATTGGAAACGATGAACAAAACTTCTGTGCCTCGCGTTTCGATTCTAGGATTACGCAAGTATTCATTATTGTGCGTTCGCTTCCTGGAGTTGGTTCTCAATACTACATAAAAATCATCGA